TCATTGATGAGCTTTCCCTACCTGAGAGTCAGAGGATGAGGTCACTCCTGGGTTTGTGTTATTTGGGGGAAGAAAGAGTGAGATCATGCTGAGTTTCCCTTATTTTTGATTGAGAAATGAGTGGGGGCATGGTACATCTTGCTCGGATATGCCTTATTTAAGAGGTTGGGGAGGTTTGCAGGCCTCCTGCCTCTTGCCCGAGGTGGCCCTGTACCCGCAGAGCCTGGGATCAGCCCTTCCCCTGGTTCTGCTGTTCTTCTCCGGCCACCCGGGGCTGCACTATGACTTTCATGAGCCTCTTTCTCCATTAAAAAATGTTTTATTTTACGACTGCGTTGGTGTAAAGATGAATATAATCCAGGCTGGATTCATTATTATATAAGCAACTCATTTTTCTTCTGATTGGAAAAGAATGTAAATTAACATTGGGGCCACCAACAGCATCATGGGCCTTTGGCTATTGGTGCCTATTGTGCCTAATGATGAATTGGCCCTGAGGTCACTGGTACAGTCAGGGCTGTCCTAGAAGTCAGAAGAGAGTCTGGGGCTGGAGCCAGAGCACAGAGGACAGCACCAGCTCCCAATCCTTGCCTTACCTGGCTGAGACGCTCTGCCAGGGACCTGGCTAAGAGAACTGCACAGAACTGGCCTGCTTTCTTGTACAGTCATGCACTACATAATGTTGTTTTGGTCCACGAAAGACTGCGTATGCAAAAATTCCTATCACCTAGTGACGTTCCAGCCGTTGTAAGCCATTGTTCCACCAAGCAATTCTCCAATTCTCTCTGGTTACCCTACACTTTAATTCAGTTAAGCACCCAGAGCTAACACAGGCCTCACAGATTAAGGGCTCTATCTCATGAGACTGCCCTCCATTTCAGATACCAATTGCAAGTAGTTGGTCCCCAAGTGACCCATAACTTCTGTCTGACTTGGCTAAAATTCTAGGATTCTCACAATCCCCTCCTCAGCTTGATGTCTTAGTGCAACGAATTACCCACATGTTTGTGTGATGATGCTGGTGTGTAAACAAACCTACTGCACTGCCAGTTGTATAAAAGTATAGCACATATAAGTATGTACAGTACATAGTGCTCCATAATGATAATAAATGACTTATTGGTTTATGTATTAGTATACTTTTTATTGTTATCTTTGAGTATAATCCTTCTACTTATAAAAAAAAGTTAACTATAGAACAGCCTCAGGCAGGTCCTTCAGGAGGCATTCCAGAAGAAGTATTTTTATCATGGAAGATGGCAGCTTCATATGTGTTATTTCCCCTGAAGACCTTCCAATGGGACAGAATGTGGAGGTAGAAGACAGTAATATTGATGATCCTGACTCCATGTAAACCTAGGCTAATGTGTGTATTTGTGCCTTAGTTTTTAACAAAGTTTAAAAAGTGAAAAAAATAGAAAAAATTGAAAATAGAAGCGTATAGAATAAGCATATAAAGAAAGAAAATATTTTTGTATAGTTTTACAATGTGTTTGTGTTTTAAGCTCAGTGTTATTGCAAAAGAGTCAAAAAGCTAAAAAAGTTAAAAAGTTTATAAAGTAAAGCTACAGTAAACTAAGGTTAATTCATATTGAAGAAAGAAAATTTTTAAAATAAATTTAGTATAGCTTAAATGCACAGTGTTTATAAAGTTTATAGTAGAGTGCAGTGAGGATTCTGCCTTCACATTCCCTCACCACTCACTCACTGACTCACCCAGAGCAACTTCTAGTTCTGCAAGCTCCATTCATGGTAAGTGCCCTACACAGGCATACTGTATTTTGTCTCTTATACCATATTTTTACTGTAATGTATTTCTGTGGCACCAGTTGTGATTTCTCCTTTTTCATTTCTGATTGAGCTTACTAGAGTTCTTTCTTTTCTGCTTCTGTTTAATCTTGCAAGAGCTCTGTCAATTTTGTTTATCTTTTCAAAATACCAGCTTTTTGTTTCATTAATCTTCTGTATAATTCTTTTGTTATCAATTTCATTTAGTTCTTCTATGATCTTGGTTATTTCTTTTCTTTTGCTGAGTTTGGGATTGGTTTGCCCTTCCTTTTCCAGATCCTTGAGATGATTTATTAAATAGTTGGTTTGTGATCTTTCTGTCTTTTGGATATAGGCATTTTAGGGCTGTGAATTTTCCTCTCAGGACTGCTTTAACTGTATCCCACAGATTTTGATGACTTATGTCCCCTTTATCATTTAGTTCAAGAAATCTTTACTGGCAAGAAGACTTAGCAAATAAAATAAAATAAAATAAAATAAAATAAAAAAAAAAGAAATCTTTTGATTTCTCTCTTAATTTCCCCCTTTACCCAGCTATCATTTAGCAGCAAGTTATTTAGTTTCTATGACTTGTGTGTAGATATATATATCTACATGTATATATTTTTTAATCTATTCATCCAGCTTATGTCTCTTGAGTGGGAAGTTCAAGCCATTCATATTTATTGAGAGAATTGATAAGTGGAGTGGATTTCTGTTCTTCCTTTTGGGTAGAACTTTATTGCTTTGTTTTACCTGGTGAGACATTGTGGTATCTGGGCTATGATCTTTATCTTTTGAGTGGTTTTACACTGGTGGGTGTCTATTGTGTTGATCCATGTATAATGCAGTTGCGAGTACTTCTTGTGGGGCAGGTCTGGTCTTGACAAATTCCCTCAGTGTTTGCTTGTCTGAGAAGGTCTTTGTTTCTCCATCATACAAGAAACCTAGTTTGCAGGACACAAGATTCTAGACTGGCCATTATTCTGTTTGAGAAGAGTGAGAATGGGGCCCCAGTCCCTTCTGGCTTATAAAATCTCAGTTGAGAAGTCCAAAGTCAGTCTGATAGGTTTTCCATTGTATGTTACCTGATTTTTTTCACCTTACTGCTTATAGGAGTGCTTCTTTCATGTTTACTTTGGCATGTCTAATGACTATGTTTCATGGTGACTGCCTCTTTGTGATGAACCTCCCAGGAATCACTTGAGCTTCTTGTATCTAGATATCTAGATTTCTAGAAAGGGCAGGAAAATTTTCCTTGATTATTCCTTCAAATAGATTTTCCAACCCTGTGTATTTTCTCCTTCATACTAATGAATGCCTATGATTCTTATGTTTGGCCTCTTTACATAATCCCACATTTCTTATAGGCTTTGTTTATTCCTCTTGTTTTTCTCTTCTTTCTCTTCAACTGACTTGTTTAGGTCAAAGGCGTTGTCTTCAAGCCCTGAGATTCTTTCTTCTGCCTGATCGAGCCTATTCTTAAGGCTTTCCACTGTGCTTTGTAATTCCTTGAAGAATGAATTTTTCATTTCCAGAAGTTGTTTATTTTTTCTTTAATAATTCAATATCTTTAGAGAATTTTTCATTCATTTTTTGCATTGTTTTTGTGACTTCTTTTTGTTGGGTTTCTATTTTCTCTTGTATTTTGAGCTTCCTTACAATCCAGATTCCAAATTCCTCATCTGTCATTTTAATCTTTTCATTTAGGTTGGTATTCATTGATAATGAATTATTCTTTTCTTTTGGAGTGTCTTTTCACTTTTATTTTTTATATTTCTGGAGTTCTTTCACGGGTTCCTTCTCATCTGGCCTCTCAATTGAGAGCTGAGGGTAATAGAGCTGGCTTATGGACCTGTTTTCAAGTCCCCAAAGATTGGTCCCTGACCATGCCAGAGAGAGGAGTGCTGGTCCTGAGTTGCCCTTGGGGTGCTCTAGCAGATTTAATGAACCTCTCTGGTAATGTCACTGCAGCAGCTCCTCTCTCAGTGGCAGGCTCTGCTGGAATGCGCCCCTTCTGCAGAGAAACAGGCTTCTCAGCACCAAGCTTTCCTGTGGTTGCTATGGCGGGCAAGGGCTATGATCTCCTTGCACTGCTCTCATGTCTTGGGGGCACCGGGTCCTGACCACCTGTCCAAGCCACTAGCAGTTGATCCCACAAAACGCTGCTGCTGCAGCTCTGTTCTCAGTGGCCAGTTCAGCTGAGAATGTGATCTCCCTGTATAGAAACAGGTTCTCAGCACAGAATATTCTTGTGGTTGCCATGGGGGGGAGGGGCCATAGTTACAATCCAGCTTGAGCTAAAATTACTTTCTGTGGCTCTAGGAATGGAGGCAGTCCAAAGGAGGAGGTGTCTAGGTATAAAATTTCTGGGTTTCTGGCCTCTCATAGCACTTTCCCAGGGGGTGAGAGTTTTGTCTCACTGTGCACGGGAGTCACCCAAGTGGGGGAGGGGAGTCCATTACCTTTTCACTGGGCTCCAGGCCTCTCTGGGTTTAGTCCACACCACTGTCCTCTCTTCTCTCTCTTTCTCTTTCTCAGCTTTGTAGCCATTCTTGGTGGGATCCCTGGACACCTCTGCTGTCTTCACATCTGAGCTGCAACTGTTTTCCACTTTCCTCAGTCCAAACTTCTACCCCTCCTTGAGAACAGATTAAATGCTTTCTACTTTCCTCTACCTTCTCTGTCACTGGTCCTGCGGTTTGCACTATAGTTACAGACCAAGTTCCATGGAGAAGCTAGTTGCAAATGTAGAGGATCATGGAGGCTGGCTGATCAGGCAGGAGAGGAAAGAAGCATATTGTCAAGGCTGAATGTCAGTTTGCCATCATCTTGCATTCCCTGTGTGCACCAGGTCAGGGTTCTGGGAATCCACAGTCCTGGTCACTATGAACTACACCAGAGCTCTTGGTCCTGTAGTCCATTTGTTTGATGCCTTACTCTTAATTGAAACCAGAAACATAGGGCCAAACCTGGTAGGGTGACTGTCAACTCCCAAGTCTATTCCCGTTGTTAAGTGAGGCATGACTGTACCACGAGGGCACTATGTGGAGGCAGGATGGGTCATCTGGCAACAGGCTTCCAAGGAGGGCTTACTTAAGGTGAAGTGCACTTAGGCTAAGCAATCCATCAAAGAATAGATGCTGGTCATTTCCCCAGGCAGTGGCAGAGATCAATGCGGGTACAATTTTGGAAATTCAGTGTCACAAGTGATCAAACTTCATTGAAGAAACAATACAAGGTGAAATTGATTGTATAAATTATCCACATTCATTAATTCATTAACAAATATTTATTCAGCCTCAACTATGTGCTAAACACTAGGCCTTGGGGATACAGACAGATTCTGGCTCTCCTAGAACTTATCCACTATACATTTGAATTCCCCAAGGTATTTATTTATAGCCACAGGTAAGTTGGGAAAAGGAGAGAAAGAAACAGAATTAAATTGTTAGAAGCCTTGTCACCTATTACCAGCCAGCATCTTGACATGCATTATGTCACTTTACCTTCCTAACTATCCTGTGAGACATGTACTATTACTTCTGCTTCATAGATGAGGAAACAGGCTCACAGAGATTAAGAAACATGTTGTCAATTGCAGAGTTTTACATTGCGGGTTAGAAAGCAGTTTTCACTCATTCCAAAGTCTGTGATGTTCCACCTGCTACTCCGCCTTGCTAGTTATGATTGATATTAAGCATATACTTGGTTTACTAGAAGCTTTCTCAAAGTATATTTATAGTTTCAATATACCCTTTTTTGGAAAAAATGAGAATAAATTACCTAAGAAAGAATGGGAAGTGAGCCTATGTTAGGAATGTAGGGAGGGCAGAACTTTCTTAGTCCATCTGGGTTATGGACTAAGTGTGCAAAAGTGGGTAGGTGGTGTCACTGATGTCTGGGGAAGACCACCATAGGTATAGTGATGAAAGGTTACTTAGGTTTGGGGACAGGTGACTTTTCTTATAATGAGTAAAACACCAAAGTAGCGTGTCTATTAAGGAATGCTCATGCCATCTGGTTAAGATGTGAGCTGTAGTTATCATGACTGCTGAATATCAACCATAATTGTCTCACCAAGGTACAGACAGAAACTGGGTGCAGTATCCAGTACAGCATGGAATGCAAACAGAAACCAAGCTTCAAAGAGCAAACCCAGTTGCAATCTAAATACTGGGATGTACGGGACAGAATCTCCGATCAGTTGGGTCTCTGGCAGGCAGACACCAAGGATCTGGGTACTCAGGGTTCAGAAGCCAGGACTCAGAAACCACTGCTTCAGAGAGCTGGATACAACAAGGTGAATGTCAATCCTGGATCAGGAGCTATTTGCTGTTGACTTTTTTTTGGCCACATGCTAGGAATGTGTGTGTGTATGTGTGTGTGTGCGCACGCATGCACGCACATGCATGCTCATGTGTGCACACACATCAGGTGGGTGGGGTAGGGAGCTGGGCTCCAGGTATTCATAGGAGCCAGGAATCTAGCAGCCTCTGAAAGAACCCTACTGCCTCCTGAGGCAGGGTAAGACTTGCTGTGTTGACCTCCCAGACATGTGGACTTGCACAATTCATTTTATAGTGCCTCTGCCTACAGCATCTGTCAATCTCAGATATTTAAAATCTGCTTAAAAATAATATAAGCAGATTTAGTTCTTCATAGTTCTCTTCTACTGTCCTTGTTTTTCCTTGTATACTGAGATCCACGTATAATCCAATCCTGTCCCACACAGGCCTGGTTACATAATTATACCTCCAACGGAATAATCTGCTGAGACCCATAGTGGCCATCACATGTTTATTAACTATCCTCTATCTCAACTTCTGAGCCTGAACCCCATTACTGGCAACTCACTTCAGAAATAGAAGACTACTTCTTCTCCATGAAATGTCTATCAGAACCAGGAGGAGAAGGGGAAGTTGTTAATTAATACAATTTCCAAAACATAAATAATTCCTGCAACTAAACACAACTGGAAGTGAAATGCATGAGCAGAATTGTCTGGATAGTCCACCGGCTACTCCCAGAGGAGCACGCGGGGAGGTTCGGCAGCAAAGTCTGCTGTGATAGTAAGTAGGTGCGATGTCGTCAGTGGAGGAGGGATGGGAGGGCCGGAGACTGTCTATGAGCCTCCACACCAGTTTGTGGAGGAAAAGGTTCTTTTTCTCTGGAGGAGGAGAAAGGCTGTGAGAGAGCCGGGCTCGCACTTTCTGAGGACAACAGGAGGCAGAGTGTGATGCTGGACATTTGACCAGACTGCACAGACATGTGCCACACCCTTGGAAGCCAGATCTCTGTCTCAGTCCCCAGTCTTTCGGTGGGGTCCAGTTTGACCCGGTGAATACAGTCACTCTCTTTTCTTTTTACTTTCTTTCTTTTCCTTCCTTTCTTCCTTCCCTCTTCCTTGCCCCACATACCTCTCTCCTCCTTTCTCTCTCCTTCTTTTCCTTCCGTCTGCATAGTAAGTGGAGTATATAGAATATTACATAATTTATTCTATTTTAGTTAATTATAAAAATTCTTCTGGAATCTCAGATTCGCCATTAGGAATTGTTTCATTAGATAGAATGACAAATATTGACATAGAAAGTCTGGAGACGGCCAGGTGTGGTGGCTCATGCCTGTCATCCTAGCACTCTGGGAGCCTGAGGCAGGAGGATCACGTGAGGTCAAGAGCTTGAGACTAGCAAGAGCAAGACCCTGTCTCTATTAAAAACAGAAAAATTAGCTGGGTGTGGGCACAGTGGTGTGTGCCTATAGTCCCAGCTGCTTGGGAGGTTGAGGCAGAAGGATAGCTTGAGTTTGAGGTTGCTGTGAGCTAGGCTGACATCATAGCACTCTAGCCTGGGCAACAGAGTGACACTCTGTCTCAAAAGAACTAACTAACTAACTAACTAACTAACTAACTAACTAACTAACTAACTAACCAACTAACTAAATAAGTAAATAAATAAATAAAATAAGAAAGTCTGGAGACTAGTCTGAGTTGGTAAAGCCTTGAGAAATATCCTGAAAGTTGATTATGGGCAATTTAGAGTTGCTTTCTTGAGATTTCCCATTTTCTCCTAAAAGTTAAAGGTAGAAGAATTTCAGATTAGGTGAAATTTCTGGTTATTTGGTCTCTGGTTAAAGCTTTCCTTGATACTCTTCCCTCTCCTTTTCCAGGTACTGGTAAACTTTTCTGGGTTAAAATGTTAGCAAGAACCTAACAAAGGAAAAATTTCCTCTATTTTAACAAACCATCCACATATCTGGCTACAAGATCATCTTCATATACATAATTATCTCTGTATGAAAATATTTTATCTTGATTAATTAAAGCACTTCTGCTGCTATTAACAGCAGGAAAGAGTTTCTAGAAAGGACTCTAAAGTCACTTAGCCTCTTTAACAGCTCTGCTGTCCACTAGCAAATGCTTACTGCTACTTTAATTATTTTAGCTAGTATGGCACTTCTGCAAGTGGGAGTTGAAGTTGCACACTTTTAAGTATTATACTTCTGTTACATTAATAATTTAATACTATGATATAATTAACAACCTTAATTTTAAGAAGTGATTTTCTATTTTAAATGGCATAGATTTTCATTGTGGAAAATTATAAAATACAGAGAAACATAAAGAAGAAAATAAAGATCACTCATAATCAATCACACTGCTAATTGATCAACAGCATTAACATTTTGGTGAATATCCCCCAAGTATTATTCTATTCATACAATCTTTTTGTATACCACTAAAATCTTACATTCTAATAGGGTTTTGATTTTTTTCCTCTAAAAAAAAAGTATCACACATATTTTCCCATGCAGTTAAGTATTCATACCCAATGTGATATTTAATGGCTGCCTAGTGTTCAGCTGTGTAGATACACCATAATTTATTTAAGAAATCCCCTGTTGGAAACCACAATTAAGTTGTTGTCATTTTTTTCACTGTTGTATGTAGCATAGACATGAACAGCCTTGTGCATAAATCTTTGCAAGAATCCCTAATTACTTCCTAATGGCAAATTCCCAGAAATGGAGGAGCTGGCTGACAGAGCTTAAACATTTTCAAGTCTTTTGCTATAATCTTGCCAAATTGGCCTCCAGAAAGGATGTACCAATTTATTCTCCTAACAACATTTGACAAAGTGACTGTTTATCTACATCCTACGTAATATTTTGTCTTCAGAATAAAATTTTACTAATTTGATAGTTTAAAAATGGGAATGTCATTATCACTGAAATATCCTGGAATACTAGTGAGGTTGAATACTGTTTCACATGTTTAATTGGCCATTTGAATGCAGGCCCAAGTGAATGGTCCACTAATGCCATCTACTCAATTTCCTACTATGATGGTTATCTTTACTTTTGGTTTGTAGGTGAGCTAATTGTTTGGTAGTTCCTACTGTTAGATCATTTCCAAAGATGAATTTCATGGCAATATTTGTTTTATAGGCTACCTTTTTGTCACCTTCTCCAAGATGCTCAGGGAAAGTGAATGAATCTTAAAGCTGTCCAAATTACTCTGTTTCCAAATTTGTAAGTAATCTTTCTTCTTAATCTCCTCACATAATTACTCTGTTTTGAAATTTGGCAGTGACTGCCTTTCACCTTTTGAATGAAAGCAAAACTTATTTAGAAAAAACCAGGTAACAGATCTCATCTAGAGTTGCACTGCTCAATATAGTAGCCACTAGCAGCTTGTGGCTATTTACATTTAAATTTGAAAAGTGAAATAAAATTAAAATCTCAGTTCCTCGCTTACTCAATAGCCACATATGGCTAGTGGCTACTATTCCAGACAGCACAGGTATTGAAATGTTTCATTTCATGAAGAGTTCTGGACAGCACCGGTCAACAGATTAACTTTTCCAGTCCCTGGACCTGTTCCCTTCTACATCTCCCAGCCCCGTCTTAGGATGCCCTTCTCCCTTTCTTTGGCTAATTCCCACTAGTCCTTCAACATATGGCTCAGACACCACCTGCTCTGGGGAAGCCCCTCCTGACTACTCATGTTCCTGGATTACAGACCCTCCTTGGGCCCATTCGAGCCCTGGGCACAGAGTGCCCATTGTGGTCCACTGGGGATGTTGGTTCACTGGTCCTTGCTCCCTGCTAGCTCACTGAGGGAAGAGTATTCGCCTTTACATTCTGATTCCTCTGTTCCAAGCTCAGTTTCTGAAAAAGAGAGAGCTTAGTGTGTGTTGAATAAATGGACTGCCCACCATTTGCACCATCCCGTGCAAAGGTGATGGTTTATCCCCTCAAATTCTCAAGAACTAAAAAGCATACCAAGAGAAGTATTCAAGGAGCAACACACTTATATCCTAATATAGTATTAATAATACGATTATTAAGTATCACAAAATAATGAAATACATGGGCATGCTTTATGAGCTGCCTCACAAAGGACAGTTACTAAGGCAATGCTATAACCTTTCTTTTGTCAGAAATATATACATATTACCTTTATGCTTGAACTAGTATAGTTTATATGCTTGGAAAATTTATAAAGCAAATCCTCCTAATAATTCTCACCCCAAATAAAAGCCTATATAAAAGTTTATCTATTACACTTAGGCCTCCAAAGTCTCTCTAAAATCTTCATCTCATTTTCCTTCTGAAGTTACAGCATATTGCATTTGTGAATGCCAAGCTCAGGATATATTTTTCCTTTTTAAATAAAAAATTACTATTAATATATATTTCTTAGAGGAAACATTTTAAAATGCTGATACATATAAAGAATAAAGGAGAATTCACTCATAATCCTGCCACCCAATGAAAATCTGTTTGCATTTGGATGTATATCTCCTAATTTTTTCCATACATAGATATATTAATATATATTTTTTGTTTCTTGCATAAATAAGATCCCACTGTACTTAGTTTTTAATTTACTTCTTTCAACTAACCATCATGAATGATTTTATATGTCAATAAATATGTTTGTAACATTATTTTAATGTCTACCTGGTATTTTATTGTGAAAATGTATCATTTAAAGAAATCACTCTCCATTTATGGGAACCTTAGATTGTTTCCATTTCCTTCTCCCTCTCATTAATAGTGCTATGATGGTTCTCCTTCTGACTAAATGTTTTCCAAGAATCTGTAGATCTGAATCTATTCTCTTTCAAGGCAGAAACAAGGAATGGCCTTCTTCTGGGGCGTTAGAGGATCTTAGGGAGAGGTGATTATAAACCTGCCAGCCCAACCCAACCAAGAAACAAACAGCCAAATTAATGGGTCCATAGTGTTATTCTGAGTTCAGTGGGCCAGTGTAGGGGATTCTCTAAAACACAGTCCGAGGTGAATCTTACCTGCTAGCGCTATGGCAGGGCTGCAAACTGAGAGAAAAGGAAAATCCAGGCTGGCAAGGAAGAAAGCGAATACTCATTAGCAAGTTAGTCACAGCTTCATGATAAAACACAGCAGGTTGCTTGATATGAGACATCTACCAGACCACCAAGCCTAGGAACAATCCATGGCAGAGAGGGAGGGTGTAGAATCTATTTGCAGCTCCTGTGAGTTTCCTTTCTCTATTTGGTCTAATTTCACCCCACAGGGCATAAACTGCCCGTAACTTTCAGATTGTGTCATCTGGTCCATCTGGAGAGCCACTGTAGGGGCTGATCTCATACTGCAAAGTTCGGTGCTTCCTCTGTATCTGAGAGCCATGGGGAGGGTCAGGGGTTCCCTGGGTGTGGCCAGGCGAACGTGGGTGCTAGAAAGGCTGTGGTTCCCGCTGGGCAGGCTCACTGGGCTCCTGCCAGAGGCTGAGGCAGGGGCTGCAAAAATAACCAAGAAATGGCACCATGAAAGGAGAGGTCTGATCTCCAGCTTGTCAACTACAATTTTCCCAGTAGTATCAAAGCATCAAAGCATTATGAAAGCCCTTGGTTTCTAGGAGCAAAGGATTCTGCAGAGTGCTGTCTATGAGAAACACTAAGACCCACGCTGCCCAGGAGAGGAATGCAACATTATAAAGAACGGGAAACAGAAAATAAGGTCTGTGGGCAGGAAAGCTCCACCTTTCCTTTGGGGACAGAAAAAGAGTAAGAGGTCAGACAGGGACACTTGGGTCAGTCAAACCACATCTTCCTCTGCATCTCTTGCCCTGGGCTATGGGACTCTGAGCAGGCAGCCTGGCCTTCCCAGGGGAGCAGGCTTGTGAGTGGATGGGCAGACACAACCCTGTGTATGTCCTCGTGTCCCTTGAGATCAATGGCACCTCAAAAATGAGCACACTAGTACAATAAGCGGCAGAGGCAGAGGCAGGAGAGTGTTGCCCTGAGAATGTCACAGAGTTCAGGTTAATTGAATCGCTTCCTTTATGACTTGCCAGACCTCTAAACAGGGCACATTTCCTGCAATCAGCTGTACTATTGAAAAAAACAGCCGCAAAGAAAAGAAAGAAATGGAGTGTGAAAGAAGAGGAGGCAGGGACAAAGAACAAGTCTGCTGGGTGGTTTCCCTGAGGTCTAGTAATGCCAAGGACAAGCTGAAGCAACACATGAATGTTTATGAGTCTCATTGTGCACGGTGAAATTTGCTCTGGGCACTGTTAATCTGCTGACTCTTGGCTTCTCTCTGCAGCCGTTGGTTTTCTGCTAGACCAGATGGTAGTTTTTTTCTTTTTACAAGGATTTCGAAGTATAGAGAAAGGTCTCAGACAGATTCTGTAAGATTATCCTGGCTTTGAATGTAACTGAGGATGGAGTTAAATACGTTCCCCAGTTTCCCACTACTGGAAGGATCAAATAAAGAGCTCTTTGGGGCAGGTGGCAGATACAGGCACGTTAAGCTGATCCTCACACGTCTTTCCATCTTTGCCTCCATCCTTTCCAATGGTCATGACCCTTGACTTGCCCTGAGCCCTCCAAGGATACCACATAGTCCTTCAGGCCTCTGTCCTCTCATTTCTGCCTGGGGGTCACCTGCATCACCACTCAGCTCAGGTTCACCTCCTGAAACCTGTCCTATGGCCAGGTGACTATTCTCCTAGTGTGAATAGACTTCTAGGTTAGCTCTCGCAACACGTTGTAGCTATTTGAATGAATGGCTCTCTTTTCTTATTAGATTATGGACTCTGAGAACAAGGATTGTGTTATTAATTTATGGACTCTGAGAACAAGGATTGTGTTATTAATTTTTGGTCTTTAAGCACCTAAAACAGTGTCTCATACCTAGAAGATGCCCAGAAAATGCTGGTTGGTTGGGAAAGCACTTGTGCTCCCAGGGTACTTCATTGGATGCTCACTACGTCACTAGACACACTGCTCAAAGGTAGCTGTTTGCTTGTGACTCCTCCATGATGCTCCAACACCTTGATGGCAAAGGTGCAAACTTACTGCCTTGAGACAATGCCTAGCACATTCTAGGTGTTAAATATGTGTTGCCTTTAGGAAAATGTGCAATATTGTAGATGATTTTTATATTATCCGGAGCTCAGTCCATAGTTGTCATGATACCAGCAAATTTCTTGAGCATGTCAGATACCTCACACCACTAATCAGCATTAGAGCTTTTATTAATAAAATGGGTTCCCATTGTACACATGAGGAGACTATGACTCAGGGAGTTAAGAGGTTTGCTCTGGTGCACACATCCAGAAGGTGGCAGAGATGGGATGTAAACCCAGGACCTCATGTGTGATGGCCACATGCTATATCACATGACCTCCCACTCAGAAGCTCTGATGAAGCCAGAGTTTTGGCTCTAGCCCCTACCTGATACCCTGCCACCTACCGGTCAGCATCTGAACATCAGAGAAAGGGAACAAGCCATCTTTCCCCAACTCTACTTACTCCTTGCAGCCCCCCAAAAGCTCTCATGACATGGCTAACCATCCACTTGGCTGATACTATAAGTATCAGATTGTCACTTCAGTTTACTTTCTTGCTATCCAGCCTTATATTACATCATAGAGACCTTAAAAATAGCTATGACTTGTGGCTAAGGAAATGGTAGAAGGCAACAAGTACAAATGATCTTTATTTTGATGAGAACCAGGACTGGTGATAAACTATGAGAAGAAATAGACAATTTATTGAAGACAGAATTGGGGATGATACCAGCATTAGTATGCATAACATTTTAGTATTTCCTGTGAAGGGACAAAATATGGATGCCCTTAATATAAACAGAAGCTAAAGAGTTTAAATTAACTTGCTCAAGGTCATATACCAGGTAAATGGATTGTGAAAATTTGAATTCCTTTTGGATTCCAAGGCCTGTGCCAGAAACATGGGTCAGGACTAGTTTGTGGTGGACCTTGAAAGTCAGGGTGAGGTCCACAGACTGTATTAAGAAGACAATGGGAAGGTTTTTGAGCAGAGGAGCAATAAGATCAGAATTACACTTGGGTAATTCTAGTCGTGGGGAAGACAAGAGAGTATGGCATGGAAGGGTCAGTGGCTCATGAGGAGACCATTTTGGAGGCTGTGGCAATTACAAAATTTATGCATAGAAGTTTGCTTTCAGACACACAAAGCTTGAGATGACAGAACCAGAGGAAATGTCCAGAAGACAGTGGA